AAAAACTAATATTTATTAGCCTTAGATTTACACAGTAGCTTTAGACAATAGTAATTCTATTACCTGTCCCTGTGGGTTTGATATCTTTTAAAACTACACAATTAATATGTGCACTTGTAGTTAATACACACGATAGACTCTTAGAGTCACGCGATCACTCACCCAGAGTCAGAGCAGTATGCCTGCTCTGATACCAATTGAAATTCTGACTATCATATCTTAGATGTCCTAAGAGATGTCGAGACACCAGATTCGACTTCACACACAATAACAAGATGTATAAACAAAATATAATATTGTTGAAAGTAAGTAACACAAGATATCTTTACCCAGTTTGGAACAAACTTCCTACTCTGGGCTACTAAGCCAGGGACGAAATTAACTAGATAATATTAATTTGTAGACCTTACAGTAAACCACCAGTTTACAGCCTACACACTTAATCAATACCATTTTCTTAACTTCTATCTAAGACACACCTAGGTATGAGGACCTCCTCAAATCCCTCTTCAATTACACTCAACAATTAGAGCAAACTCTAAACACAAGTAGAGAATAACAATTCGAAAGCTATACTTCTAAAATACGCAAGACTCAATGCTTACAAGCTTATGAGAATTGACACACAATATGTTCAATGCTTAAACGCTAATGAACATCTAACAGCGAAATTACATCCCAACAATAAGGATTCTAAAAACCCTAACACAAATACATCTATAAGTTCCACATAATACTAGGTATACATCAATCTATTTATAACTTTATTCTAGACTGAGTTAGGCTTCAAAACCGCAACAACGAGACTGCACAAGGTCTGTAAAAAGTTCTCCAAGAAAATAGGTATTCAATCATTAATTTCCTAATGAATCTCCATATTTAGAAACTAATCAAATCTTCGAAATTTAATCAAAGAATATTCTGACTTATTAATTTTGGATGAAACATAAGCTAACTGAATATTCCCTGACTATCCAATAGCTAAAAATCAGCTGATCCACATTGTCAGCTTGTTGCAGACGCGGTCTCCTATCTTCTTGTTGGGACATCTTTCTCGGCATGTTGAAAACAGAAAGTTGAAACATCTTGTTCAACATGTTGCTGTTAAAATGGTTTTACCAAAATGTATGACAATATTAATCTTAGAGAAATAACAATATTAGTGCTATATGTCAGCCATTCAGAGTATAATGAAATGTGATCTAATGGAATTCTTTCCTAGTGAGTATTGTATGGCCTCTAAACGACGTCAATATACACACGGAATGACACCACAACATTATTCTCTCTGTGCGGGAGATACGGGCAAGCATGTGGGTAATATTCAATATACGATGGGTCATACCCAAACCTGTGTATGCAGTGATATTGAGCAAGGATCCATCCCTAAAAATGAATAAGCAAAAAAAACATTAGTAACAAGTGTAAAAAGAGTTGTTTTTAAATTAATACTAAGATTTAGAAATTATCGTAAGCAAGGTACATGAGCTTGTTATTTGCTTTATCATCTAACGAGAATCTTTGCTCGATTAGAGTACATGTATACTAAGCATGTGTCCCCTAGCTCCACTCGTGAATGACCTCCAAGTTGATGAAATACTCGAGGTATGCCACATCCACGTAGGTTGAACTTTTGTCCACAAACAAGGACATGTTAACCAAGAATACGAAAAAGCACCTCAATGCAGACTCCATGTGATAGCTAACCTGTAGATCATCGTTATCGGGGTCTTCGGCCAACTCTAAGTTATTGTTATATAACATCTGCAACCTAGAAAATTTGGCATGTGCACCCCTGGTGTTGTTACATTGCTTCATGGTTTCCTCAGAGCCAACTCCCAAATAAACCACCATCATATCCACTGCACTAGCCCTGGTGATCTTAGAATGATCAAACAACCTTCTTCTAATGGGAAAGTGTATGAGGCAAGTGACATCATCTAATGTAATCTTCATCTCGCCAAAAGGGAGGTGGAAATATGACATTTCGATATGCCATATCTCAGCAAATGTCGCATGCATGTCGTGTTGATAATGTTATACCCGGAAGCACGAAGACCTGTAAGACCGATGTACCGAAGTACACTAAGGAACCACTTTTCTTGAGGTTGATCAAGCTTGTGAACCTTTCTGGATTGGTTAATTGATTTTAAACACTCGCGTTCATGTTGAAATTAAAATATAACAATCTCAGTCAACTTGAATTTGGTTAAAATATAAAAAATAGAACCATTAAGAAATATAACTCTCCGTCCCAAATACACTGAGCCACGTGATCTCTAAAGTATATCAGTAATGAAGTGTCAGTGGATCCTCCCGGATAAGGATCTACAAGCGGAGTCTCATGTGCATTTGAAGCCTCCTCCTCATGGTGTGCACGAGCCCGAGATGACGACCCATGTGATAGTCGGCTCCTAGAGGTTGACGCGTCCCTATCGTGAGGCATGCAGATGACTCTAGCATGCTCGTGCTAACAAGCTCTCTTGCAGCGAGCAAACACAATTAGGGTGGGACGGTCGAGTCTCAACCTGTCGTTGTTTGAAATCATTATCCTTGAAAAAACATTTAAAAACACATTAGTGCATCAGGAAGGAAATAATCCAGAGATGTATCTTCAAAAACCAAAAAGAACACATTTTAGAGATACATCTTTGAAGAAAGCTTTATTTTTTATTGCAATGGCAAAAACATCTCTACCCTTGCTCTAACCATCCAAAACTCATCCAAATCACCCAATGGACAGAAACAGATACACATAATCTATTTCAAATGCTAATACTATCTAATGCATTAAAAGTAACTTATTTGACCTAATACATTAATCAAAACTCAAAATAAGCTAAATGAGAAACTTACTAAAAAATATGTTGGTAATGGTGTAAAGTGTTGAATGCAGTAGTTAGAGGGAGTTGGATATGACAAGATACAAGCAAAGAATCTGAAGTTACGTCAAAAGTTGAGTTAAACTATTGTGCTCACGAGCTCAAATGGATCAAATTTTTCTAAACTGAAAATGAAGAAGGAAAAGAGAGTCTGACGCACATTTAAATATGTTTATCTAGTTTGGAGATGCATCTCCAAATTATTATTATTTTAATTAAAAAAAGTTAATTTGGAGATGCATCTGTGAATATACCGTAAAACCCTTTCGTAGATACATCTTTAAATAAACATTTAGATAAAATGAAACTTAATGAGTTCGGAGATATATCTCTGAATACAAGAGACATTTTAGAAATTTCGTACAAGACCTAGGAGACAATATAAGGGTCTAATGAAATTTCTAAAAAAACTATAAGTACCAAAATGTCTTTTTCCTTCTCTTTTCTCAATTTACGGTACATTATAAAATTGAGGTGTTTGTGGATTGGGTTGGATCTAATTTGATTAAATCTAATATCCGACTCAATCAATAATCTTTGATTTGAGTTGAGTGTTTAACCTGTACTTCTAAGAATAAATTTGAACCAAACCAACTCGCTTATTAATGGGTTGGATTGGATTGGGTTCGTGGGTAACCCACTAAATATAATTTTCAATTTCTAAATAAAATATCAATTTTATTAACACATTTATTTTAAAAAATATTAAAAAATAATAAAATTTTAGTAGTTAATTTAAATAAAATTTATCGTTTAATAGCTAAAAACCTTTTTATGATTCAAATCAAATATATATATATATATATATATATATATATATATATATATATATATATATATATATATATATATATATATATATATATATATATATATATATATATATATATATATATATATATATATATATATATATATATATATATATATATATATATATATATATATATATAAATGGTATAAAATATAATTTAAAAGGTAAGATATATCTCTTTGAATAAAGAAATTTGATTTAAAAAAAAGTATTGTAAGAATTATGTTAGATAATTTATAAATAAAATAAAATAATAATATAGTGACATGTTAATGGATTGGGTTCACGGATTCGTTGATTTAAAACTTCAAGTCCGTTACCTGAATCAAATACCAATGAGTTTGAATGAATTAGTTTGAATTGAATTTGTACATGATTGAATTGACCTGTATCCATGAACACCCTTATTATAAAATACTCCATCCGTTTTAAAATGACTGTCGTTTTGACATATAAAATTTGTTTAAAATGTCTGTCGTTTGAGCAAATAAAATTTATTTCAAAATGACTGTCATTTTCACTTTTCAATATAGTAATGATTGTCATAATTGTATCTTTTACTTTTTACTCTGAATACTCATTCCAATACATTAATAATATTAATTTTATAAAAGTATAATGTCTTATAACAATATTATTGTATTATTTAATTTATGTACAAAAACTTTAAATGATAATGATTTTGAAACGAATAGAGTATATAGTACTCTATCCATTTTAAAATGAGTGTCGTTTAATATTTTTGTACACAAATTAAAAAATATAATAATATTATCATAAAATATTATACTTTTATTAAATTAATATTATAAAAATATTAAAAATAGTGTAATTATAATAATTTAAATGACACAATTGAAAAATAATAATTATTTCTATAATGAAAAATGAGAATCACATTCATTTTGAAATAAATTTTATTTATTAAAACGAATTAATTTTGAAATCGAGGGAATTTATGTAAAAGTTTTTTTCAAAATGATTTTGTTGACCAAATATGTCTAGAACATTCCATTAGTATCTTTTTTTTCAAAATCAAGCCTAAGAAAGACACGTGGAAGCTGACACTTCTATATTTTCCAAACTTCACCTCTACAAAAACAAAGAAATCTCTTAAAAATCCAAACCCCCGTTATTTCATCTCCACTTCACTAGATCCATTTCTTCTTCTCACGTTCCCGATTCCAGGTTTGCATTTCGTTTCCTCTTTGACTTTTTTCAACTTAATTCAAACGCGCGTTTGCAAATTCCTAGTTGTTTCTTAAACTGATTGTTTCCATGCACAGAGATTTCAGAGATTGAAAATGGTGTCTGAAGCAAGCAAGAAAAAGGCTGCCCAGAAGAAGGCCGCCGCTGCCGCTAAGAGAGGAGGTAAGGTAGCCGCTTCATCGAAAACGGCTTCGGAGAAAGCGGTTGACAGTGTTGCTAACGGAATTGGGGATATTCAGATATCTGATCGGACTTGCACCGGTGTCCTCTGCTCTCATCCTCTTTCCAGAGATATTAGGGTGAGCAATAACTGATCATCGTGCAGTGATGCTAATTAATTTGGTTTTGATTAATTTATCTTTAATTAATTGCTAATAGAAAAGTTGTTGTACAGTGTTTTGATTTTGTTGATTTGCTCGTTGTGTTAGATATGTTGAGGGAAAGATGCATGTAGAGTTAATAACTAAAAATTATTAATGTAAATATCGAGTGTGCGTTTGATTTTGAATTAAATAATTGATTCTGGCTAAAAGTGACTTGAACATAAAGTTATGTTTGGATAGATTATTGCTAAAGTTTAAAAATCACAATTTAGTGTATGTTTGGATTGGCGATGGATAGAATTGAATTTGATAGAATTGATTTTAGCAACATTGAATTTAGCTAAATTGACTTATGTTTGGATTTATGTAACTGAACAATAAATTTCAGTTTAAAAATTACATTTAAACTCAGAAGCTACAAATTCTAGCTTCTAGCCTCAAAATCACTCCAGAATCAATTTACACCACTAGAATTGCTTTTGGCTCTTGCAAAAGTCAAACCAAACATGCTATCAGACTCAAAAGCCACGCAATCAGATTCAAAAGCTACGAATCCTAGCATCAAGTAGAATCAATCGTAGAAAGCATAATCAATTCTATTCGAGTAGTCAAAGCGTGTTTTTGGATACAAGGCCAGCTACCGCTGCCGCACGTGATTTTCTAAAGCTACTATTGGTAGCTTCTATCAATCATGCGGTATCACTGTGATTTTTAAAGATTTCCAAACATAGGCAAACATGTTGAAATCAATACGTCTAGAATCAATTTTGTGGTCAAATGTGAAAACAAACATACACTGAGTTTGTTACTATATGAGACGATAGGAATGCACTTGGTGGTAGCTGAATGGCTTTGTTACTTTGAAGTTTGGTGTTCATGAATTTTGCTCTATTTAGGTTTAGCTTTATGTTGAAACAATTTGATTTTGCTTATGTTTATGCCATGGAAAACTAATTTAAAATGTTAATGTTGAAATCAATTTTTGTTTTAGGCTCAACTAGTGAGTTTATGAGTTTAGTTTGCTTATTTTTTCCTTGACCTTTCAATTGAAAGAGTATTCATGTCTTGGTTCTTTAATTGAAAATGTTCTGGCTTACTTTTGTATTCATATATTGCATTGTACCTCTGGAAAAAGACGATAAATGGATAATCTACCCAGAACCTTCATTAATTATTAATCCATATTTTTCGGAAACTGGAGTAGACTTTCTCAGTTTAGATAGTCAGTAGTCTTACTTTTAAACTGTTGTTCTTAGCATGGGTGCCCGCATGTATTTGAACACCTAGCTGAGCAGTTGGGCCGGTAGCAATGACATTCTACCATGTAGCCCAGATCAAAATCTCGATTCTCCTTTGTGAATGTACTTACTATGAATCCTTCAAAGGTAGGTGATATTTTAATATTAAGCAATAAAAAGGATATTTCTGTCATCCAATTATAAATACAGTTAATTGTTAATGCATTAAGATGATTAGTGCTGTATTGTATTGAGCTTTTGATTTATGCTGCATTTACAGATAGAATCTCTATCAGTTACCTTCCACGGACATGATCTTATAGTTGATTCTGAATTGGAGCTAAATTATGGAAGGTTTGTCATTGATATTTAGTTGTTCTGATTTCTGAATAGGATGGATCTCATTGATTATAACTGTATATTTGTTGGTGATTGTGTTTTCTTTAAATTCCTTTCAGACGTTATGGTTTACTTGGATTAAATGGTTGTGGGAAATCTACCCTACTTACAGCAATTGGATTACGTGAACTTCCTATTCCTGAGCACATGGATATTTATCACCTTAGCCGGGAAATTGAAGCCTCTGACATGTCTGCATTGGAGGCTGTCATTAGCTGTGACGAGGAAAGGTTGAGATTGGAGAAAGAAGCTGAAATTCTGGGCGCACAAGTATGTTTAAGTACAACGACATCCAAACTTTTTTGCTCACAAATGTTTTACTTTTATAGATGACACCATGCTTGATTAATTTCTGTTCCAGGATGATGGAGGTGGTGAAGCACTTGAACGAGTTTATGAACGGCTGGAAGCTATGGATGCATCAACAGCAGAAAAGCGTGCTGCTGAAATTTTATTTGGTCTTGGTTTCAACAAGCAGATGCAGGCAAAGAAAACATGTGATTTTTCTGGTGGATGGAGAATGAGGATTGCTTTAGCACGAGCCTTATTTATGAACCCAACCATTCTTCTTCTAGATGAACCAACCAATCACCTTGGTATCCCTCCTCCCCGAAATACGTAAATCTATTATTTGTGGCTGAAATGTCATTATTACCTTGTCATGTTTTGAGCATTGGTTTCCATGTGATGATTTTCTCCGTGAGCTCACTTATCATTTTGAATTGAAGCTCCTGTGGATTCTTTATATGTTGTTTCAGTTATGCCTATCAAATAGAAGACCTGGATATTATTGAGTCCTAGTTCTAGTTTGTCTGTTGGGTAGGCTTCTATGTAGTTTTGAGTATAGTTTTCTTGGTGTCTGCTTTGATAAAGCATTCGGTAGGATTTCATCTAGACAGGAGAATATATTTTGATGCTTTCTATCATCATGGTTGTTCTGTGAATGCTATATCCATTTACTTGCATCTTGTGATTCTTTGATAATTTTTCTGTGAATGCTATATCCTTTTACTTGCATCTTGTGATTCTTTGATAATTTTTCTGTGAATGCTATATCCATTTACTTGCATCTTGTAATTCTTTGATCAATTTTTGCATTGTGTCTCTGCTTTCTACATTACCATCTCACTTTATGGGTACTACTGATATAATATTAACTTAGGTAGTTATGGGTGTCACTTTTTAGTTATGCTTTCATATGAAATTTATCTTTGCTTTCTCTGTTTCCCTCCGATAACTGTCTATGTTTTTTTTCTATTAATTCTTATGTTCTAATTTTTGGTCTTAGATTATGGCTGCATTCTAATTTACTTTCTTTTTTTTAAATGTTTGCAGATTTGGAAGCATGTGTGTGGCTGGAGGAGAATTTGAAGAAGTTTGACCGTATTCTGGTTGTGATTTCACACTCCCAGGATTTCCTTAATGGTGTCTGCACAAATATCATCCACATGCAAAGCAAAAAGCTGAAGTTCTATACTGGTAATTATGATCAATATGTTCAGACTCGTGCTGAACTGGAAGAGAACCAGATGAAGCAGTATAGATGGGAGCAAGAGCAGATCGCCTCAATGAAGGAATACATTGCTCGATTTGGCCATGGATCAGCAAAACTAGCTCGCCAAGCTCAGAGTAAAGAGAAGACTCTTGCAAAAATGGAGCGCGGTGGACTTACAGAGAAGGTGGTAAGAGACAAAATTTTAGTTTTCCGCTTCGTTGATGTGGGTAAACTTCCCCCACCTGTCCTCCAGTTTGTGGAGGTGACATTTGGTTACACTCCTGATAATCTCATCTACAAGAACATTGACTTCGGAGTTGACTTAGACTCCAGAATTGCTTTGGTTGGACCCAATGGAGCTGGAAAGAGCACATTCCTAAAGCTCATAACTGGTGATTTGGTTCCCTTAGATGGCATGGTTCGTCGCCATAACCACCTTCGCATTGCACAATTTCACCAGCACTTGACCGAAAAGCTAGACCTGGAACTGTCTGCTCTCCAATTTATGATTAAAGAATACCCTGGAAATGAAGAAGAGAGGATGAGAGCAGCTATTGGGAAATTCGGATTGTCGGGTAAAGCACAGGTGATGCCAATGAGAAATTTATCCGACGGACAGAGGAGTCGCGTGATCTTTGCATGGTTAGCCTATAGACAACCTCACTTGCTTCTCTTAGACGAGCCAACTAATCATTTAGATATTGAGACAATCGACTCTTTAGCAGAGGCATTGAATGAATGGGATGGTGGCTTGGTGCTTGTTAGTCATGATTTTAGGCTCATAAATCAGGTGGCTCATGAAATATGGGTCTGTGCTGATCAAACTGTGACCAGATGGGAAGGTGACATTATGGATTTCAAGCAGCATTTAAAGGCAAAGGCAGGTTTAGCTGACTGAAAAAATAGTGTATGTGATACTGTAATGATTCACATCTGAAGTATGTTGATATTTCAATCGCTGTGGTGCTTATCAATTTGGTTGTTTGGATGCTGACCAACTTCATATATGGATAATGGAATGGTAGATGTCAAGTTATACATGTCTTGATCTACGAGTTGTACACGACTTGTTTCACGAGATGATATGATGTGATGACTTGTTTTATTAGATGATATGTTGTGATGTTAACTAATTATTAGGGGTGAACACTGAAATGTCTTAAAATTCTAGATTAATTATTATTTAATTAATTTAGTACGGGTATACGAGTCATTGTAAAGTGTTTAATATATGTGATGTTTTGGTGTTTTGTGTGAGTTCTTGTGACGATTTATGATGTGTATTTGTGATTCATTTGCGATGTAATAGCGATAACTTGATGAATATGATGTTTAAGATGGTGATTTGTGTGGTGTAGGATGGGATAATAAGAGTGTTTAGAATTTAAATAATTAGTTTGTAATTATTTAGATTTAATAGTAATTATTTATAATTATTTAGATTTAAATAAATAGAATGGTGGTGTAGAGAAAATAAGGGCAAGATGGTCAATTGGAAGGAATAAGTGAAGGTAATAGTGGAAGCTCATTATTAGGGGTTCAAGAGAGTAAGTTTAGTATAAGGAAAAGGTTTGAGATTTTACACGATCATTTTGTACAGAGAGGCAAAGAGGAATTTGTAGAATACGAAGAGGATTTGATTGCTAGCAATAATTTTAAAATAAAGGATATTTATCTTGATTATTATAATTGATCTAAGGTTTAGATAGTTGTGGATTGTAGTAGGTTTTTGGTTGTGATGAACATGTGATGATTCAGTGAATTAGGTGATGTTTTGTGGTCTTAGGTCGTAAGTAATTGTATCCATAATATATATTATCTGAGAGCAAAGTTTCTTTACTCTTGTTTTAATGATGTCAAAATATTCTTCGCATCTTGCTTTTGTGCTCCTATTATTGGTTGGCTCTTTGGTGAATTTGAGCTTGGAAATGGATGACATGAAGCTCTTTGAATTAAAGCAATTTTAGCCACTTTAATTGTTTGCGTCGACTCACACAGTTGGTGAGTCGACTCATGGACTGATCAAAGACTTTGCACCTAGCTCGGGACTGCTCATGTCGACTCTTCTAGTCGACTCATACTGAGAGTGAAATTCTTTCAGGTTGTGTCAACGTATGCCTTGATGCGGTCGACGCGTCGCCTATTTTCAAATTATCTCATCAAGCTCGGGTTAGCTCATGTCGACCCTCCAACTTGTATGAGTCGATGCATCGTTAAAATTCTTTGTTTTTCTGCTACGTTTTGGGCTTGTTAATTGTGAAACATATTAATATTGGTTTGTGATCATCATTTGAGTAAATAAAAAAAGTGAATGATATACACCAATTTCTCATCATTTTCATCCTCTCCTTGCATTCTTTAACAATTATACATAATATTTTTTGTTGATTAAAGTGCAGAGCTGTGGTGATACGTTCAAATTGAAGATTGATTTCAGATTTGAGTTGAGAATTGAGTGAGTTTTTTCTTGAATAAAATCGTTAGGGTTTTGTCCTCCAAGATTCCTGTTGGTGCGGGGTTTTTTGCACAAGTCTTTGCTTCATTGAATTCAGTCGAGTGAAAGGGTTGAGAAATGGTGGGTTTGCTCAATCAAGTAGCGGTAATTGGAGGATTGTAAAGAAATATTTGGGGTCAAACGTCTTGTGATCGAGATCAGTCGAGTGAAAGATTTGTAGAATAAAGAGTTCGCGAAATCAAGTAGCGGTAACCTGAGATTTGTTCGAAGAGTTTGACATATTTAGTTTGGTTTGAACCAAGGGGAGAGAAGGGAATAATTTCATCTTCAATTGATTTGTGTGTAGTAAAGACTATTGCTTCTCTTGTAATACTTTGTAATTTAATAACATATATCTCAATTCTAGATTTTAGAATTGGAGGCAGACGTACTCTACGCGAGGACGACAAGGGGAACTGCCTTAACAAATTGTGTAATGATTTTCTTTTTCTATCGTTTTATTTTCGTTTGTTATAATTTGTGTGATATTGAATGTTCAATTTATTTTATCATGATTGTAGTGATTCAAACTTAGTTTACAATAATCATAGCAATCACTTTGATTGTTATCAAGAAAAATTCATCACTACAATTAAGTAAAATTAAATTTGTTGTGCTTTTGCAGACCAAGTGTTTGATAAATTGGCTAACACATAATTTGTGATAATGTCAAGTTTTATCTCAAACAATTCATTGAAAGTAGTAAGTACTCATTGATATTGTTTAAGTGATTGATTATTAAGTAATAGTATTGATTTATTTCTCATCATAAGATTTTCATACGGTTTCGCATATCTGATCTTTTCAATAACTGATTGTTTAGACAATTTTGATTCGGGAAGCTTTTGCATCATTTCAAAACAAATTTTAAAAGCACAATTTTTAAATAAAGGATCTATTCACCCCATCTAGACCCGTCTCATTGTCTAACAAGTGGTATCACGAGCGCCGATACAATACACCTATTTTTATCGATGAAAATTATAGTTATTGAAAGATTATATGCGTGTGTATATCAATTCCGTTGATAGAAAAATATTGAAAGTCATCGAGAATGGTTCTATAGCAATAACCATTACTAATGTGTTTGGTGCCATCATACCTAAATCAGAAGCACTATAGAAAGAGAATAATGAGAAAAAATATAGCTATGATTGAAAAATATGTTCATATCATCTTTAGGTGTTGATGAATATTTTAGAGTATCTCATTGTGATACTGCTAAGGCAATGTGGGACGCATTACAAGTTGTTCATGAGGAAATTAATGATGTCAAATTATCTAGAATAAATATTTTAAATCAAGAGTTAGATCTCTTCACATGAAGCATGGTGAAACCATTACGGACATGCAAAAGAGATTCACTCATATAATCAATCGTTTATATATATTTGGTCATACCACTTCCAATGTTGTTGCTACTAATAAAATTTTGAGATGACTTAATAGAGAATGGAAGTCTAAGGTCACAAAGATTAAGGAAGCTAATGATCTAACGACACTTAATGTTATAATATTATTTGGTAAGCTTCAAGAATATGAGCAAGAGCTCATAAATCTCAACAAACACAAAAAGAAGGAAAAGAAAGAAAAATAAAGAGACATGGGAAAGAAGTCTATCACGTTAAAGGCTTTAAGCTCTAAGTCATTCACCAATGATTTGTGTGTAAGTGACTCAAGTGATGATGATGGAAGTTCGAATGAAGATATTGGGCTATTCGTGAGAAATTATAATAGCTATCTCTGAAAGAATGCAGTCTAACATTCGGATAAGAACCTCATCAACTATAGTCATCAATTTAAACCCTCTATGTAAGATGAAAGTAAGAAATCTAATTTAAAAGGATCATGTTGCAATTGTGGAAAATCCGGTCACTATAAATCAGATTGCTCATTTCTCAAGAAAGACAAAGGAAAAGAAAAATATCAAAAGAGATCAAATAAAATTAAGAGAACATATATTGCTTGGGAGAGTGATAATGAAGCTTCAAGCAAAATCGATTCTAGTAATGAAGAAGAAACGATCAACCTTTATCTTATGGTTCACCAAAAGAAGAAAACGAATGTAAGTCATTTTAAATATGGTCATGTTGATGAAATGTTTTACATTGAATTGCAAAAAATCTTTGATACTCTACATAATGAGGCTAAGGAAGCTTTTAAATGATTGACCTCAAATAAGAAATTTTTTCATGCCTTGAGAAAAATATTTCCGATTCGGAAAAGGAATTGGAAACTCTTAAGGGATCTATGGTAGAAGCTATCAAAGGAAAAAGCGAAAATGACAAAGGTTTTTGGTTTACACGGGCTGGATGTGAAATTTGTCATATTTGACAAAGAGAGGTTAGAACTCTTAAAGCTAAATTATACAAGGCTTTATAAACTAAAATTACTTATGCTATTGATCGATCAAATTTTAGAAATATCATGAATAATCCTTATCAAAAATACACTTATGAGATAAGGGATCAATCTAGAAAAAGTAATTCTCTTCAAACCTTGACTTGTCTATATTGTTGCAAGAAGGGTCATACCATTGGTAAATGCCGTTTTAGGAGATTTTTGGTTCCTCAAGGAATTTTCAATTGGTTGCTCAAATGTAACCCTAATATCACTTGCACACAAGGACCTAATAAAAATTAGATACCTATTTCCGTTGTTTAAATTTGTGGGTGGAATGTCTTGAAACTACAGAGAGAAGATTGTTTTCGATAGTGAATGCTTAAAGTATATAACGGGTGACATCTCTTTATTGTTTGACTGTGACTAAAAAGAAAGGATTTGTAACCTATGGTGACAATAACAAGAGAGCTATACTTGACAAAGATAGTGTAGGTAATCCCTCTTTTACTATTATCTTTGATGTTCTTTTAGTTGAAGGTCTTAAACACAATCTTATTAGTATTAGCCAATTATGCAACAAAGGATACAAAGTCTCCTTTTCAAAAGATTGTTGCATAATTGAAAACGATGATAAGAAAGATGACGTGTTTAAGGGATTGAGGGTAAATAATGTATACATACTTGACTTGAATGAAGTATTGTTGGCCGGTACTAAATGCATAGTTTCCATGAGTGAAGACTCTTGGCTTTGGCATAGGAGTTTAGCACATGTCAACTTTGACTTGCTAAGTAAAGTAGTTTCAAAAGATTTAGTAGTCGATCTACCCAAAATAAAATTTTGTAAATATCACTTATGTGATGTGTGTCAAATGGGGAAGCAAACAAGGATCTAGTTTAAATCTAAAAACATCATTTCTATGTCGAGACCCCTTAAACTTCTTCATATGGACCTTTTTGGACCATCTAGAATAAAAAGTCTAGGTGGAGACTACCACGGTTTTGTTATTGTAGACGACTACTCTAGATTTTGTTAGACTATTTTCTTATTTAGTAAAAGTGAC